GATAGGGGTGAGCTCTGACATCGGGTCTTTAAAGGATACAACCTCTTAGTGAGGGTGGTGATGGTCGGCTGGCATAAACCCTCCACAGCAGTTAGGGATTACTTAACGCGCAGTTATTATGAAGCAGTCCTTGGCTATCATTCCTTTAGTAGATTCAGTAAACTAAACACTTCTGGCCACCTTTTGTCTTATAGCCTTCCCAATCGAAACAAGAACCCTTGTTTCTAGGATAACCCAAGAACAAAGGGAACCCGGGGGGGGGGGGGGGGGGGGGGGGTTGTTGTTCTACTTAATTATGCATTCATTGGTTAATTCCTGTATGTGCCCTTTGGGTATGAGGACAACACTCTAAGCTATCTGGCCAGCGCCTCAATTCAATTTTCAATAGCTTCAAAAAGAATAAAATATTTAGGGATTAATTCAACCAAGTAGTTGCAATACTTATACACTGAAAACTACAAAATATTACTGGAATTAAAGTAGACCTAAATGAATGGAATGACATTCTGTGTTCATGATATTTTCAAGATGGCAATAGTACCCAAAGTGATCTGCATATCCAGTGCAATCCCTATGGAAAGCTCAATGGCTTCTTTACTCGCTTCCTTTCTTTCTTTCTTTCTTTCTTTCTTTCTTTCTTTCTTTCTTTCTTTCTTTCTTTTTGGCAGAAATTTATATGGAATTGCAAGGGACAAATTTGAGACAGAGCAAAAATAATTTTGAAAAAGAAAAACAAAGTTGGAATATTCACACCTCCCAATTTCAAAACATACTACAAAGCTACAGTAATCAAAACTGTGGAATTGACAAAGACAGACATATATTCTGGGAATGGAAAAGCTACAGCTAACATCATATTCAATGGTGAAAGATTGAAAGACCAGAAACAAGATAGTAAGTAAGGGAAGGCCAAGCGGCTCCGAGAGCCTGGCAGTCTGAGGTCTTCCTTCAAACTAGTGACAGGTTTCCACTTTTCGCCGCATTTCATCCATCTTCAGACGTGACTTTTGACATTTTATTACCTGAGATCTGCACGTGTCTTACAATCCGCGGGGTGTACTCTTACACTGAACTTTTATTTTTAAGGAATACGTGAAAGGACGGCGAGTCTCGGAAACAACGCTGTCTTTGATCCCACGGAAGTGCATTTACATTTCTAGTCCTGCGTTTGTATCTGATATTTGATGTCTGCCTTCCCCCGCTCTACCCCTCGCAGGGTGCCAGCATAGGTGCTTAGTGATTGTTGACCAAATAAATGAGCGAATGGAAGAAACTTTTTTTTTTTAACTGAGCCCTGGCTCTGACACTTGCTGGCAGTTTGAAACAGGAAAGGCCACGCTCCTCGTTCAAACTCCGTGTTCCCGGTTCACAAACCGGCTGTAATCCCAGCGGGTAGCAGGCCCGAGGCTCCCCAGGGAAGCACCCGCAAGGCCGTGCGCGCAGGGCCTGCGAACTCCTCCTGAAAACTCCAACCCAATAAAAAGGCAGGAACAGGCATTGGGTTATTAAAACCCCTTTATTATCAACGTATAAATTCAGATATAAAGAGGAGTTGAGGGGAAGGGAAAAGATCTGCTAGCGAAGAAGCGGCTTACAATGTTAAAAAGCGCTACAGTGGGGTCTTGATTTACGAGTTTAATTCGTTCCGTGACGGAGCTGTAACTCAAATTACTCCTATGTCAAATCAAAAAGTGAACGAGTGAGACACGTGATGCTGGGCTGATGTTGTGGCGTTCACTGTGACCTTCCCTGCGCCAACTAGCGGTGGGGTATCTGAAGCTGGCTCATAACCCGAATTTTAGCTCGCAACTCAAAGCAAAAAATCGGGGAGAGACGGCTCGTATCTCGAAAAACTCGTTAGTTGGGACACTCGTTAAGTCAAGGCCCCACTGTATTTGATAAACTGCAGCTAACAAAGCGGGGAAGAATTGTAGGGGGGGAGGGGCAGTGGTCACGGGGTCCTGCTGTGCCTCTGGCTTTCAATGGTTCTTTCAGGCGCCGGTGTCTGCAGAGGGCAGAAAGAAAAAAAGACGTTAGAAATCAGAAATCAAACGTATGCGACCCATTCCTCCTTTTTCTTGCAGGCCTGCACCAGGTATTCAGACACTTATGGACAAGGATAGCTTCATCTGCATGTACACCTCCTCTCAGTATCAATCAACTCTGGGCACAATGATCCGACCCGGAGCACCGGCGGCCGCCGCGGGGGTTGCAAGAGGAAAGCCGGGTATGTTACAGGCGCCCAGGGCTTGTCACACTGGACGGCAGGAGCAGAAATATCAAGACGCTGCCTCGCCCTTCGCACGTCCCCAAACATCTCTGGCGCCTGATGCTGGCGGAGAGACGCAGCGAACCCACCTAGAGGACCCCAGTTTAGGCGCCGCTCCGCAGTCTGGGAGCCTTGGGTTCCTAGTGTCTTCCCCCACAGGTCCCCCTCCCAAACCACCTAATGGCTTCCTAAAGTTTCTAGAACAAAATCCGCATTCTGACCAATCATCCTTTCTTTGACCTAGACCCTACGATTATCTGGCTTCTGCCCTCCTCTCTGATCTAGTTGTGTACACGCCCCGCCCTCCTCCCTCTGTCTCTAGCGGCTATTTTTCCCTCATTCGTCAGGTTCCAGGAGCACTCTCCATAGCCTACCCCTCCTAGTCACACTTCATTCTTATCCATCACATTGGTTTTACAAACTCATTCCTTAGAATACATTGTTACAGTGCTTAAAGTCTGATTCCTGGACTGTAAGCTCTATGAGGGCAGGGCTCCTGTTTTGTTTCCTTCAGTTCTGTGCCCTACCTAGCAGGGGTCTGATCACACCATAGGCTCTCAGTTAAAGGGGGGAAGGAAGGGAGGGAGGGAAGTGGAGGGGAGGCGGGAAGGAAGGGCGTGTGTGCTCGGCTTACAAATCTTGGCTTTGGTTATAAAGGGTCACTCAATTTTCATTTGTCTGGGGCCCAATTAAATCATTGAATTCTCTTCCGTTGCTCCCAACTCTTGCTACTGCGACTGGGCTCTCCTCCGCTGCGGAGTCTGGGACTTAAACTTCAATTGGAGGAGCGAGAGGTTGGGCAGGTTAAAGGAGATCTCCCTCCCCCTGGTACCCGAGGCGCTGCACTCAGGCTACCCTGAGGCCCAGGGAGCCTAGTGCCCCAGTTCTGAGCCCATCGGATACATTTCAGTCTTTCTAAGCCTATGTTTCCTTTAAATATCCGTGCTCACTTTGTATATTGCTTCATATACGTGTTTTAATAAAATGGTTCCCCCTTCAGGAAAAAAGTTGGAGCTGGCGCTTTAGGCGGGCAGGGGTGGAGGTGGGGGTGTGGGGGCTGGGGCAAGGCTTTGTGGTGGTAACGACACATCCACCCTCCTCTCTGAGCGATCTCTCTGGTGCCAACGGAAAGCTTGAGAGAGGGAAAAGCTTGAGAAAGGGTCTCTTTCCTGGAGTGTGTAGCAAACCCCGCGGCGAGGGTTGGAGAGGTCTCTATCCCAGATGCTTCCAGAGCCCCTGGGGGAGCTCCGAAAAGCCCCATCGCTTAGGCTTAGAGCTAGGGGCGGATTGAGTACATTTTGCAATGGGAGCCGGAGCCGGAGCCGGAAGGACAGATCTCTGCCAGAGGATGCGGGTCGCAACTGCAACTGGTTTTGGAAATCCCAAGGTTGGTCCCGCGACTTGGGAAGGAAGGGCGGGCTTTCGAGCTTGACTTGCACAACTTAGGGTTGGCGGTTTACTGGGTTTACTCGATGTTCATTTGCCTGGGGCCCAAGAAAATCATTTAATTTTCTTCCGCGGCTCCCAGTTCTGGCTTCTGCGATGGATGGGCTCCGCGCTCTAAGCTTCCCTGGGAGGAGCGGGAGGGTAACCTGCCGGGGAGGAGGGCCGCTCCCTGGGTGCGCCACGAGCCTCCAGCCTGGGGCGCTCTCCGGGTGTCGGCCTTGAGCTGCGGGGAGGCTGAGTTTTTTGGAGAGTGGGGGGCAGGGTGTATGGAAGGGGTTTTGACCTGCGGAAGTCCATCTGAGGCTGTTTCCTACCCACAGCCCTGTGAGGCAGCGCGATTGATAGATTGATCGGGATACCGAGACCCAAGGCTCCGCTCTGCCTGCGGAAGCTCTCCCAGTTCACTTTCTTATTTTTATTTTTTTAAAAAATATATTTTATTGATTTTTTACAGAGAGGAAGGGAGAGGGACAGAGAGTTAGAAACATCGACGAGAGAAAAACAGATCAGATGCCTCTTCCACACTCCCCACTGGGGATGTGCCCGCAACCAAAGTTTATGCTCTTGACCGGAATCAAACCTGGGACCCTTCGGTCCGCAGGCCGAAGCTCTATCGAATCTATCCACTGAGCCAAACCGGTTAGGGCTCCCAGTTCACTTTCTTACATCGGCCATCTCACCTGCAGGACCTTCTCCGCGCAGGTACCCCACGATGTGGCGGTGGCCCCGCTCCTCAGCCAGGTCCACGGGCAGGCGGCCCCAGGCATCGCGCACATCCAGCTGCGCCCCGGCTCGGTGCAGCGCCACCAGCGTGTCCAGGAAGCCCTCCCAGGCGGCGTCGTGCACGGGCCTCGTGAGGGTGGCGGGGTCCGCGCAGTTGGGGTCCGCGCCGTGGATCAGCAGAAGCTCGGCCACGCGGGTGCTGCCCATCATCATGACCTGCGGGCGAGAGCAGAATGGTCAGGGCGGGGGCAGGCGGAGGCGGCGGCGGCAGGATTAATTAATCTAGAGAAAGTAGTGGCGAAGCCGCTACCTGGTGCAGACAACCCTACAAGCCACGGATGCCTACTCTTTATTTGCCTTCAGTTACCAACTCTCTTAGCCAGTTCTCCTACCTATTCCATTTTTCTGTACACATTGAATTCCCAGGATAGTCTCCAACCTTTTGCAGAATTCCAGCCACACACAGAACACCGCTGGAGGCACAGACATCAGCAAAAGAGTGAGGGACAAACTTGCCTAATCTCCTGTAGCTTCCCCCCCCCCTCCATTTTGATATAAAATTATGGAAGACCAGAGATTGGGATGGTTCATCGCTGTATATACAAGCCCTTGTTAAAAGGGAAAAATAGCCCTGGCTCCTTTGGGTCAGTGGATAGAACGTTGACTTGAGGACTGAAATGTCCCGGGTTCGGATTGAATTCCGGTCAAGGGCATGTACCTTGGTTGCCGGCACATCCCCAGTAGGGGGTGTGCAGGAGGCAGCTGATCGATGTTTCTAACTCTCTATCCCTCTCCCTTCCTCTATGTAAAAAAAAAAAAAATCAATAAAATATATTTTAAAAACCAATAAAATATGTTTTAAAAAAGATATCCACTTCCTAACATTCTGAAGCTGTGAATATATTACCTTCCATGGCAAAAGGAACTTTGCGGGTGTGATGAAGATTTGGGGGGAGACGAACCTGAATTGCCAGGATGGGCCAACTGTACACACATTTCCTGATAAGGGAGCCACCGCTGAGAAAGATGTATGACAATGAAGGCAGAGAGCAGAGGCAGGGCTCATCCCAGAACACTGATGGGCACTGGAAGGTGGAAAACGCAAGGAAATGGATTCTCCCTTAGAGCTTTCAAACGGAATTCCTTATTTTAGTTACATTCTGTACTTAACACAAATTACTTGTCCAAACCAAGATGCCATAAGTTACACGATGGTTTGGTTTTTTTGTCCTGGAGAAAGTAAAACTGATTTAATTCTCAAAAAGAGAGAAAATATAAGTGAATCAAATTACAGCTCAAAAAAAAAAAGAAAAAAAAGAAAAGAAAAACTATTGCAGTGCAACAGAACAATGCACTTTCATAAAATAAAAACTGGGAAAGCTTTCACACTATTACTATGTTTATCCAATGTCCTTCATCAGTTGACTGGTTTTAAATGTTTTTATTATATTAGCATTAAAGTTTGAACAGTAGCCTAACATTTAAATCATAATAGCAATCCCATGGAGGGGGGGTGGGGAGAGAAAGAAATCTATTACAGAAACATTTGTAGGGTGCTTAAACACATTTTCAAAAACATTAAATTTAATTTAGTAGTTAAAATGTTTTTCTATCAACTAAGTATTTCTATATTATACACACATTTGATTAGGGTTCCAAACCAAAATCATACTCCCTTTTCTCTATGTTCTCATCCTCCCCATTAAAAAAAGTTAAAACTAATTATCCAACTTTCTTTCTTCTTTTTATATAATAGGTCTCTAAAATATTCCAGAGCTCCAAGGCCAAATTCCAAGTTTCCAAGCTGCTGGGGATATTTTAGAGATATTAAATTATGAATCAGGCAGCATTATTTTGAAAGGACACAAGCTTCTTCAATTCTCAGCCTCTTTAGATTAAAATTCTCTCCACGCGTCAAGTCCCAGATAACCCCAGGTTTCAGGCACTTTCATTTTATTTTTATATCTGTATTTTAAGTATAAAATTTATCCTATTAGCAGTTTCAGCAAAGGAAGATTTACTTGTGAAGTTCAAGTAAAGCTACTTTCCTTTGTCTTGTTATGCTGGAGTTTTTGCAATATGTATTTGTTTCATATACATTTTCTTTTCAGCATCAGAAATCAACACTGGAAATTAAAACCAGGATGGTGACTGCCAGGAAGAATTCGTTGGGGTTTTTTTTGTTGTTGTTGCTTTTAGCCTGAGATTTAGAAAGTTAATGAAGGCCAACAACAAAAACCTGACCCCCCCCCCCCCCCCCACACACAAACCAACAACAAGAAACTGGAGTGGGGAGAGGAGAAATGACACTTCTCAGCATTGAGGAATTGAAAACTCTACTTCCAATATTTTCATCTATAGCAAGCAAGTTAACAATAGCAACAATAACAGGAGATACCACTAACATGATGACTAAATTGGTATTTCAGGGGCTGTTTCACTAATGTTCTTCATATATGTCTGCATTTTTAAAATTCTTATAATCATCTATTGTAAAGCAAGCCTATCCTTGTACATTAAGTCCTTGTACCCTAAGTGGTTACATCTGAGAATCTCAATTTGATATTTATTGCAACACACACAGGAGATTTCCACTGAAATCCCTGCGAGGGTGGAAAATGACCACCCGTCAGTTCCTTTCGGAGGCCTGTGAGTTCAGGGCTAAGCGATCCCAGCTAATCTTACATTTCTCTAAAACTGGATCCCAGCTAATCTTACATTTCTCTAATCTTACATTTCACACCAAACGTTTGAAAGTTTTGTACTTGATAAAGAATATATATTTTTTAAAGAATGTAGCTTGGTCTATATTAACATACACCGTTTCTCCCTCCGGATTCTGCACCCTTTCTGCTTCCTCATTCCTCCCTTGGCTCCCTGAGCGCCCGGGCACGGGGCATCGTCCCGGGGAGACGCCGCACTCCAGCCGGAACGGAACGCCGCGGGTGTCGCCCCTTTACCGGGATCTGTCGCCCCTTTACCGGGATCGAAAGGCTCTACCTGGTTCCGACCCCCTTGCGAACCTAGTCCCCCGAAGCCGTTCACCACCCCTCTGGCCGCGGCAGACGCGACCACCCACCTGAATGGGGGTCCGGCCGTGACTGTTGGGGGCGTTGGGCGATGCCCCCGCTTGGAGCAGCGCCTGCACCTCCTCGGCGCGACCCCGGGCCGCCGCCGCAGCCAACAGGTCGGCGGAGCGCTCCATGCGGCTCCGGGCGCCGGCCCCTCGCTCTCCTCCTCCCCCGCGCCCGCCCAGCCCTCGCGGAAGCCGCCCTCCTCCCTCTCCTCTGCGGTGGGGGGAAGGGGCTTCTTCCTCTCCCTCTCCTCCCCTCTCCGCTCTAAACCGCGAGTCGACTCCACGCCCTGCAAAGGGCCACCCCCCGACGGACCCGCGGGGTCGGGGTCGATGCCACGGCTCGTGGGAGCCGACACCCTGTAGCCCCAGAACGCTGGGAGGGGAGGAGCGCGGGTTGCTGAATCTGCTCCATCGAGAAGGACCCACGCGCTAGGAATGCCAGATAGAGACATCTATAGTAGAATATGATGCACTAAGAATGAACTACGGAGAAGCAGGATTATGACATATGTGAGACGCGTGGAACGTGAGAGTTAGTATTGATGAAGTTATGTAATATGA